ATTGCAAAGGACAAAGTTTATTTTTAAAAAAGTGGGTGGGCCAGAGTGAAAATTTTGAGTTTGGCTAGCAGACTCTTGCTGCGTGAATATTCTCACATCTAGTTATATCCCAACAATTTGTAGAATAGGTTAAAAAAGAGAACTGCAGGGAAGTTTAAAAACTCTCCTGTAAAAGATTCATGAAAAGGCATCAGAAAAAAATAAAAGCAAAACAAACAAAAAGTGAGACTGTGGGCAGCTGGTTGGGGAGGCCTAATATTAAAGGTGGGAAGCCAAGTGGCTGTTCAAGAGGTGGGTCAATGCAGTGATCCTGGGCTCACCATCAGGATACTGGCTACTTATTTTAGCCCCAAGCACTTGAGTACATCGCTTTGCCTGCATTTGCCCATCTTTGAAATGATCTCACTGAGACTCACAAGTAAAGATGTGTAAAATAAAATAATTCCTTACAAAAATCAAGTTTTCCTGTTCTCCAAAATTTTGTCATTTTTTGCTCAAGAACAAAAGAGTTCCTCACTTGTGGGCTGGTTATGGTCAAAAACCTCAAAACAGCAAGTCTGATTCTGCATGAGCATTTTCACTTTGCACTTGGCAAGTTTCAGCTTCCTCTTAGAAGAATGTTCATGCCAATGCTGAAGCCATTTGACTTCTAAATATAGTGTAACAGATGTTAATAGGAACTGTATTATTTTCTGTTACACAAAGGGTCTTTCTTTAAAAGCCAGACACCAGTCCAGTTCTGGTTAGGCTCAACTATTTCAATCAAGGTAAATAGGATTTTTTTTTTCCCCTTTCTCAAGTATTGAAGAATTTGGTATCTTACACCGGATTTTCTTAACTTGACCCATGAACAAGTATCCATGCCTAGATACTAGAGAGATTTGTCAAGGTCAGGCACAGTGGCTCATGCCTATAATCCCAGCACTTTGAGAGGCCAAGTTGGGAGGGTCCCTGGAGTTCAGTTCAAGACTAGCTCAGGCAAAATGGCAGGACTCTGTCTGCAGGAAAAATTTAAAAAAATTTGCCGAGCATGGTGGCACACGCTTGTTGTCCCAGCTACTCAGGAAGCTGAGGCAGGAGGATCATCGAGCCCAGGACGCTGAAGCTGCATTGATATAATTGCAGCCACTGCACTTCAGCCTGGTTGGCAGATGGAGAACCTATCTCTTAAAAAAAAAAAAAGTTGAATGTGACGTTTCATACATATATCCCTTCTTTCCCCTCTATCGAGTGGTTTCATTCACCTTCAAAGGGTCCAAAACTCAAAAATGGCAAGAAACACTTTTACATACACACCACTTCATCACAAAAAGCCTAAACTATACTTGTTATATTTAGGTTCAGATTCAGTAATCTTAACGTCCAACATTGCAAATACCCAGATACTGGCTGCCTGGTTGATTTCACTTTTTGACCCCACAGCACCCAGCAACTCTGTAGGGCTGCACCTCAATGCGCGTTGGCTTGTAACTATTGCTTTCTCATAGCTGTGGCATTGTCTTCCTTTCCTGAAAACGTGGATTTTCACTTGAGGCACCTTTGTTCATCCAACCTTACCAATTTAAATGATCTCTCAAGAATACCAAAGTGACTCTGGCTCTTCTTGCCCTTCTAGTCCTTTAAAGACTGGCTATGCTTCTTTACAACACAGGCTGTGACCAGTGAGAATGTGGACTTTTAACCCATTTGAATGAGAATGCCTTATGGAACAAGTGATCTTCTGGCTGGCAGAGCATGAAGCGTCCCAAATGCAATTTAAATGTGCGATCCTGGTGTGATTTCAATGTCTCCCTTAAAGAGGCTTAAGCATGAAATTTCTTGGGCTGTTCCTCAAGAGAAAGGTGCTCTACAAATGAAGCCGAGAATATAAATTTCACTTGGTTTCAGATGAATGGACCGAATTATGAGGCTAAAAATGATTCCCTATTTCAGCCCCTTTGGATACTCCTCCCTTCTTCATTTCTAAAATTACTGTGATCTGAACTTCTGGAGAATATTTTAGGTTCTCCAGCAATTTAACTTCCCTTTGAAAATGCACCAAAATCTAAGATTAATGTACCCTTTAATGTGGTTCTCTAACAGAGAACAATGTTAATAGACACTACACAAGAGATATGTAGGGGCGCCCAGGCACATTCCCCCCTCCCTTTTTCAGTAGTAGTTATATGATCAAATATAATACTAAAAGACTAAATGCTTGTGGCTCTTTTATATATATTTAAAACACACAGTAAGAACATAAGAACATCTCAAGTCATTTAGAAGGTAAAAGGGGGTTATCAACCAAAATCTTTGGAAATTTCATAAAATTTAAATATCTGCAAATAGTCCAACCAAAAACCAAAAAAACAAAACAAACAAACAAACAAAAAAACCCCAACATTTGGCTATGGAGGGCACTTCACATGTGAACCAAATGGCATTATAACATTTTCCTTCAACTAGTCACTAAACCCAATTAGTAAGAATACAAGAGCAATATTGGAGACATCCCCAAATACCACGTACTTGATTAGAACATTCTGTTATGAAGTGCTCAGCTACCGCGGGCTTTCCTTTACATTGCATACATTACATTTCTACAGTGCAATGTTGAAATAGCCTCCAAATTTTGCAAAGTAGATTGATGTTCATCCTACAAAAATATTAACTTACAGTACATAACACTGAATAATTTTATTCTGTACATTTTTTTTCCTTCCATAATAGTTGACACACGTCAGTTTGTACAAGTTAGAAAAAACATCTGGTTGTTTACATCTGGATTAATAGTCAACAGAGGCAACCAGAAGTGGTGGGGCGGGTGTAGTTTGAGAAAGTATAAATACAGTGTTAATATTAACTGTGGTTAACAATATTCAGCTTTTAACAAAGCGATACAAAATAAATCATCTTAGATTTTTGACTGAAAAGATCTAGCTGAGACTGTTCTGCCAAACAGCCGACCAACTGATGCAAAAGGTTAAGGCTGACTTGACTTAGCAACCTGCAGCACAACCGAAAACACTGGTGCAGTTCAGAGCTCTTCAAATGCATAGCTTCAGTGTTACACACACATTAATTATATTCCTTCAATTAGTTAATCCTCTAGACAGTTTTCTTTTTGTTTTGCATGCATCCTGTTCCATTTTCATTAAGGGCATCTCTTCCTTGATCAATCATGTGCTTTGCTTTTCAATTTGTTTTGTGATTTTTTTTGTATGTTTTGTTTGTTAAGCTGTCAATACCTCCAACACTTGGAAAATGAAATATAGATGCGTTTTACTTACAGAAGAGAATCATAGCTATATGGACAATGCAAAATGAAATGAAACAAGTGTCAGAAACAGTTTATAAAAATGGCACATTTATTGCTACAGAACGGTCATGTACATGACTTCATCGAATAACTACAGATGGGAAACAGGTAATGGCCTTGACCAAGCTGGGTTTGTTTTTGTCTTGAAGGAACTCCAGCACACAACCTGTTTGGACACTTCTACAAATCAGAAATACACCAAAAACATGAAAAAATCGAGGCACTCAGCCACACATTGAAAACAAGGTGTAACTGTTTATCTTTTTTTTTTTGAAATGTTTTCCCTTTTTTTCTTTTTTTTAACAATTTTTTTAAGTTTTTAATGCTGCAGCTATGTGTACAGTCGCAAAAAATTTCCCCGCTGCGACCTACAACTAAAAAAAAACAAAAACAAAAACAAAACAAAAAACAAACAAAAAAGCTACCCATACAGTTTCATCTTGGTAACACATGGTAAAATAACCTCTTTTAAATAGTAAAATAAAGTAACAAACTTTTACTCATAATGATTCCAAAAATCTACAAAGAAGAAATATTCAGAATCTGACAATTTTTTTTTTGTAATATTCATGGTATAAAAGGATTGCTCCTGCGAAAAATAAGCCAAATATATTTTTTATTTTTAAATTTAGTTTTTTTTCCTACTAGGGTGTACTACAGTCTATTTTATAGCAAAAGAGCACTAGACAAACAAAGCTTTATAACAAAAAGCCAGGCACTGATACATGGTAAATCTCTGCTTTTTTTTTTTTTTTTTTTTTTCTTATCTTCACTTAATTGCATCACAAGTAACAAGAATGAAAAAGGCCACAGTTCATATATTTTCACCATTACATATGTCTATAATACTTGAAATGAGTATGGCAAAACCAGCACTGCACAAAGATGAGTCCACTTCAAGTCCCATGAGAAAGAGCATGTCTCTAAAGAAAAACAAACAAAACCAAAGCAAAATAAAAAGAGAGGCCTAAAGGCCTTGGTGCCCCATTGTGTTGGAATTCATCATATTCCATCTTGACTTTTTTGCTTCCAGTCAGCCAGCAGACTAAATTTTTGTGCTTGTTTATGCTGAAATTGATTCATTCCTGACTCAAGTTCACTTTTGGACACAGATCATATTCTGCCTGTTGGATGCAAAAGATGAAAATCCTCTTAACTCCAAGTCTTGGTTCGACTCCCTCCCCACTCCCCAACCCCTCATCAAAATCAAGATCACAAAAAACAAACAAAACAAAACAAAACAAAAACAAAAACAAAAAACCTCAGAAATAGGAAAAAGTGAAAAACAAAAAGGAATCGGAAGACTGAATCAGAACCAGTTGCACCACTGGGTGGACTGACAGTTGTATAAACATTAGTGTTCCTTGCAGCTACACAGAAGACAAATGGTAAAAATTTCTAGATGAACAGATCCCTATTCTGCATATTCATAAATTACTTGAATGTGGAGGTGGATCAACTGTTCCAAGTTGCTTTTAAAGTCCGAGTTTCTGAAAGAGATCCCCAGCCTAAGTGCTGTCATATAGAGTGTAGTATGGACCCTTCTGAAATGTTTGTATAGTACTTTAATCTTAACTGTCTTCCGCTGAATTTCATTTGAAAATCCAGTGCAGGATACCAATATCTTACCTGGGTTTGATAATTACAAAACAACAACAATAAAAAACACACTAAAAAGGCCACATTCCCTTTTTTCTTTTTCAATGGGGATACAACCCAATTAATATGGGTAGGTGCAGATTGTGTTTCTCCACCAAGCAAAACCTAGCGAGCAGCTTCCGGTGGCCATTAGAATTTTCACTTATTTCCAAAGGGAATTCAACAATAGAGGTATTGCATTACTGAGTAATGAATACATCAAAGCTGGTGAACAATAAATTGCAGCTTTTACTCTGAGTGAGAACAAAATATAAAGCACCAATTTAAAAAATAATCAAATGACTACAATTTACTTTTTTGCTTTGTTTACAGATTTGAAAAACTTTAATTCAGCTCTATTAAGCACCTTTATGATAACATGTATCAAAAGTGCCATTCTTAAAATGTACATCAATGCAGGGAGTGTTTCCAGTTCCCTAAAGAGTAAACACCATATTTTCTTCTGTACACGTATCCTGAATGTGATCAGAGTATACCTGCTTCCTATATAATATTGTTCCTAGGGATACCCGCCTTGGTAGACTATACAGAATGAGTGCAGAATGTACCACTAAAAGGAAATCTTTAACATACGGAGGGAACAAGTACACATGGTTTTCATTATTCAGGGAGGAGGGGAGAGTATACATTATTGTCTTCCATGCCCTTCTCTGAGCCTCTTTGTTCATACATTTCACAGGAAAGTCCCAAAATAACTTTTCATGAAGTTTGATTTCTGCTATTCTCCTAAGGTTTTAATCCACCTCCACATTTTAGGAACTTATCAACAAATCAAAGTTATTTTAGTTTTATCGCTACTGAACATATTTACAGTTTTTCAACACACACACAGCTAATCAAAATGTTTATGGGTTTGTGGTAACTATCTTATTTGTTCTTACATTTTCAGAAATGAACATAAAATTCTGATTCTTGTAGCTCACTATTTCATTTAAATGAGACTTCTTTTTAAACCACACAGTTAAAAAAAAAACAAAAACTGATACAATGTATTAAAACACATAATAACAAGAGTCTACATGTAAAAATATAACTTTTACATACACAATTTCAAAATAATGATACGTTTGCCATTTGTTGCATAAAATTTACAAATGTATTTCATTACTATATAACTGGCAAAACAGGAGAACAGATGGAACATTTAGACCATTTCAATGGATTTATGGCATTTACTCAGTGCTGATAGGTGGAAAAACTACTTGAACAGGGATTTTTTTTTTCTTAATACATGCCAAGAATTGTGTGGCTGTAAAAATAGAAACGAGTTAGAGACAAAAGGATGCTGACAAATACTTAACTAGGAGCACTATTTGTTTACTGCACTATACACCAAAGTCAATCATTATAAAGATTCACGATGGAAGTTGGTTCAATTGTGCCCAGACGTCAAAGCTAGCTATCTGATGAGTCGCTGTGCCATAGCTTGATCTATGTTTCTATCAAATATGGTAAGTATAAACTTCATTCATACTGGCCAGAGAAATACTGCACTACCCCTCCTCAAAAAAGTGCAACTTAATGCTTTAGGACTTATAAGGCTTGTTATAATGCTGCATGATGATTGAATATTGGCATTTTTCAGATGAAGGAGGAGGCAGTTAAGTCATCTACATTTTAGTAAACCCATTTTGAAAAAAAAAAATCAAGAAAGCAACAAAATCAATCAGCTCTGTCACACTACTTGCAATTTTCTCATTTGACGGTTTTTGAACTTTACTTGTTTTTTTTGTTTTTGTTTTTTTCCAAAAATCTGACCATGTATTCAGAAACGCCTCACTGCACACTACTTCGGCTACACAGGTAGGTAACACTTTAATCATTTTGTTAAATCACAGCCACTTTGATTATGTTATGTTTCCGATGATATAAACATTGGAAGGCACAGTGGTAACATTGTAGCATTCTAACCTTGTACCTCTGAAAATCCCAGAATAGGGTCACAAATGCAACATTACAATTCAGACAAACTCTTTTTGCCATGTCTTGGTAATGCTGCTTGTAATATCTACACATGATGTGATTTTTAAGTCCTGTGTTCCCAAAAGACTGGAGAAACAACTTTCTACTTATTTATGAATGAGAAGCAACATCAGGGTCAGCATTTCATCCTGCACTACCCCTCTGGAAGCAGAGTTGGCACTACAGGTTACGATAACAAACCAGGGAAAGGGACAGAAATAAGACAAAAAAAAAATCCATATTTACAGTAAAATCTTTCTTTTAAAAAAGTTAATCAGTACTATTTTTTTACAGGAGAAAAAAGTCTGAAACAAATGAACAAAAGCTTACCATAGTCACTAAATTTTTAATATATATTTATATATATATTTATATATATATTTGTCATAGGTCTATAAGATCCATCTGTTCCTCCTACCCTAAGGAATGGCTAATGTCATCACTTCGTTGTCATCAGGACGTTTGCTGGTTTTGTTACTAGGGCAGCCGAGCTTCCCCTAATTCAATATCCAGTAATTATAAACACTAGCTGACTTGAATACCAACAAAAACGTTCATGTAGTTTTCTTCAGAAGTACACTTTTTCATTATTGCAAGTTTACAATTTTTTTTTAAATTAAATATTTTTTTTCAGACTTACAAATTAATTATATTTTTTTTTTTTTCCAAAAGAAGTTTAGGCACAAATGCATTGTTCCACAGTGTGGAAAGATTGCCGTTCAGTCTCTGGGCTGTGTCTCAGCCTGTACATACTGCTTTGCACATTCTGAATGATATGTTAAAGAAAGTCGTCCCTCAAGTTGCACTTTTTTCTTTCTTTTTTTTGTTTTTCTGTTTTTTGATAATTGGGAATGCTGAAACCTCTTGCGTCTGCGATTCATAACTACTCAGACTTGTCTTATATTACAAAAAAGGGGGTTAAGGAGAAGTGTTTATGTGGGTTTAAGATAATACAGCTGTTAAGGAAGTGGTCTCTTGTTTTAATGAAGCAATGTGGCAACTTGGACCTGAGAAAGGAAAAAAGAGAAAAAAAATTCATTAATATATTTGTAACAGAGGAAGTGTGCTGCTTCTTTTTTTTTTTTTTTAATTCTTTTTCCATGAAAGAAAGTATCTGTCAATTTGGGTAAAATTCACTTTTATAGCTGATACACTGGTGACAGTTACGAATGATCGGTTTCAGAAATGTTGAAAACAAACTTGCCCTTTTACATCTGTCCCATGTGATTCGATGCGTCTCCCATTCCAGGGTGTGGGCCGGCCAAGGAGAGTGGGGGAGGCTCTGAGGACACCTTCTCTTCCTCCCTTCTTTTCAGACATGCAGCTTTCGGATTCAGATTCCTTTCTGTGGAGGATTAAAGCACAGGACCTTTGTTTAATGCTGAGGCTTCTGGCAGAGGGCAGCAATGCACTCTTCTTGCGTGTCTGACCTTTTTCTCAGTGTTTATATTACAGAACAAAAGGAACAGTTACTACGTACTGTGGCGATCCATTTGGTCAGTCACTAGTAAAAGCTGAACTGCATGTGAGTGTGTACAGCCACTTTACAGCAAGCAAAGGTTGGTAAAGCAAATAAACTAAGCTCCAATTACTGAAAGGATATAGGGAAAGTTGCAATATAATCTTAGTTATAAGAATCCTACAACTTCATTACAGGAGAAAGGGATGCTGCCTTACTTAAGGATTTAGACACAGTCTGCAATGGAAACAATTCTTTGGAATGACGCTTGAAGGTCTACTGTCTGCCACTGCTCAAGGCTGGCATGCCCATCTCAGCTTGTGCCTGCCACAAGCTCCTCACGAGTTCTGCAAGGAGGCTGGCCTGCACTGACCTCGGACTTGCTGCTCCAGACTGAGGATGACCGCCACCGCCTGGTGGAGGATCAGGAGCTTGGTCTGGGGCTTGTCACTCTTGAGGTGGAGCTGCACCATGCGGCCGAGCTCTTTGAAAGCCTCGTTGATGTCACGGACCCGCAGGCGCTCTCGGGCGTTGTTGGCCATTCTCCGCTCCTTCTCACGCTCTGCCTTCTGCTCCGGTGTCAGGTCCTCATCGTCATTATTGCTGTGGGACAAAAGGGATGCAACATTTTCTAATGGTGTGGGGAAAAAGAAGGTGTCTACATTGTTTTCTTCCAGAGTTTTCAGGGAACTTTTCCATCTTATGCCATGTCTTTGGCAGAATTTTTATATCCACTGGACCTTGCAACTTGGCTGTGACAGTTCACAATACACAAGATACTTGGTTTTCTCACAGACATTAAACCCAAACCAAACAGGTGAGAGTGACGTAGATTAAAGTTAGAGTGCGGAGTGTGCCCATACTGATACAGGGGGGCAGAAAGGAGAAACAAAGCTTTTTTTATTCAGTGGGGTTACACTCTGAAAAGCAGGCGTTCACCAACTTACGCTTAGCATATGCTGCATAACCATGCTTCAGAAAGACTTTATGTTTATACTTCACTTTTTTAATATAGAGAAAACCTTTCATACCGTGACATCTGAAACCTAGGGGAAACAAGTAATTGAGAAATGATTTTGATAGGTCAAAAAAACACGGCAGCTTAACAGGAGTAAGAAGAAAGGCCTATATGTAAGACACCAGAGCAGTGGGAGTGAAGACAGTGAGGCTTTTATCCAGGTATCCCCATTACCTTGCTTTGAAGGCCTGGTCAACCCACTATGTAATTCTCATTTTCTCTATGTATGACATAAAAGGTTAGGAAAACATGACTTCCATGGTCTTTAATCTTATAGATGTTTATGATCCCCAGAACAAGTTTGGGAAACCTGAATTGATATCAGCCATGCAAAACGATTAAAAAAACCAAACACCTACAGCTTATGAATGATCATGACCTCACTGTGAGTCAAAAATGAAGCCAGAAAGCTGGGTGCAGTGGCTCATGCCTATAATCCCAGCCTGGACAATATAGTGAGACCTCTTCGCTATAAAAAATAAAAAAAATTAGCTGGGCACAGCGATGCACACCTGTAGTCTCAGCTACTCAGGAGGCTGAGGTGGGAGGCTCACTTGAATCTAGTAGGTGGAGGCTGTAGTGAGCTGTGATAAGGCCACTGCACTCCAGCCTGGGCAACAGAGCCAGACTCTGTCTCTTACCAAACAAACAAACAAACAAACAAACAAACAAACAAAAAAAAAAAAAAAGCCAAACGCTAATTTCTGATTGTGAAAACGAAAATATTCCATGGTTCATAACAAAGACATGGCTAGGCCCAGAATAGTCTGAAAAGATAAGATTGGTTCTGTCCATTTCCGGGTGTCACAGTGACAAATTAGAAACTTCTGAATGGAAGGCAAAGAGGATGAGGAGCCACCTGGAAAGCATATCATATGAGGAAACCTTCATGGCAGCACGGCTCAAATATTCCAAGAGCTATCATGTAAAAAAGAGAGATGTGCACGATGTCTTGTCTCAAGAAGGCAGAACGGCATGTGCTACAAAGCTCCAAATGACTATTATGAATAAACGTAAGTGAGGATTTTCGGGGGGCTTATGAGAGATTCAAAAAATGAAACAAACTTCACTGAACATCAGTAGACTTCCCATCACAAGAAACTCCATGGAAGTGACTAACAACCTACAGGGTAATTTCACACATCAGAAATGTTCACAGAATAAAGATGATTAATCACAACATTTTGGAGTTGGAAGATGTGGGAAATTATCTAGTCAATTCAATGTATACTTAATGAATGCTGGTTTAAAATTTATGACTCTGGTCTTCCATTGTGGAGAATCTCTGGGTAACTTTCAAGTGGCAATAAGGGACCAATTACACTTGAGAAGCTCCAATCAATCAAAAGTGAGAGTGGTATTCCTGGGTTGCAAGTACACGTTACACATAAAGATGATGCACGAGTCAAGAACACTTGGGTGAAGGAGAAAAGTTAGGGGCAAGGAGGATGACACTACAGAAGGACGCTGTAAGACCAGGCTCCTCTCTCTCCATAGCATAAGTGCCTTTCCAGAAGGCACTGTCTGCCACAGGTGTGTATGGTAAACAGGCAACTCAACTGAATCCACTGGAAAAGGCCCTCTTTCTCTGCCTTCTACCGATCCCTCCTCTGCCCTCATCCCCGACTGCTGCCAGTGCCAAGGAAATCAAGTAACAATTAATTCACTCCTATATTCTACTATGCAAATAGGCTGTAAAAAGCAAAAGAAAACAGTCTCTGCCAGGCCTGTCCGGAAGCTAAGCATTTGGGTGATATTTTTATACATCCAACATGTGCCACACCTTACACAAAGGAGACTGGAAAATGGGAACTTTTCTTCCAAATGTTTTCAGGCCAATAACCAATTAGAATTGGTTATTCACTTATAAATAAACTGGTTATGCAAATAAAACTGCCTAGATTTGAAAGGCACTGCCTCGTAATACAGTTTTGGAGGCATACAGAAGTAAATGTCATAAGAGTGACCTTTTTAAATAAGAAGGTTCTCAACAGCGAGTGAAAATGTTGTTCTGAAACATCAAAGGATCCATTAACATGCATAAGTTTGGCCACAGTAAGTTAAATTATCAAGAACTGACTGGTCGAACACAGAAGTTATTAAAGGTATGAAATTCCCTCCTTGGGATTTCTTGCCAAAGTGGCCAAGAATCAGAAAACGATGAGGAAGGAAAGGGGTTATCTAGAAGCATTTGGCATTTTAAAACTTCTGGCAGAACATGGAATTCATCTAAGTAATTACGAAGGTAACGTGAAGAGGCAGCATGTTCTTAATTCACAAAAGATTCCAAATAGAACCTTGAGAACCACAGCCTTTAGATGGAAAGTTGTAGTCTTAGGACACTTGGTTGAATTTGTGAATAAAAACAACCGAAGGGAATTGAGGTAAACTACATGGGTGCTGGTATTCAAACACCATCTGATTACCAGATTCAAGTTCAAGGAGATATAGATTCGAATTTAAAGATAGCAGATATTTAAGAAAACCAGACAGAAGCTATTTTCCTGCAGTTGTGTTTTCTGCAGAAAAGTGTGTCCAGGAGGAAAAACCATTAGCAATTTAGGTATTACTCATACACATCTGCATGTTTAGGATAAATCTAGGAAATCAGTATTTTCTCACTTTAGAGGTAAGAAAAGAGTTATAGTTGGCACATACATCAATTGAGTTTTTAACACGGCTACAATCTCTTTTTAGAAATATTATAGACACAACATTTCTGACCAAATTTGTAGACTAAGTATAGTTTTAAAAATAAACTGTACTTGAATCAGATACAAATTGTTTTCACTGTGTGTCATTAGCATTGGGTCCAGATTCATAAATGCCAAAACATTTTAGGCTCCACTAGAGTACAGGTATCTTAAACGATACTTTTAGTACTTCTAGAGTAGGCCTTTAATTTTCTTTTCAGCTGTAAATCTACCTGCCAGGAAAAAACTGAATAGTTTCTTCCCATTCTGTTCACTTCATCAAAGTCCAATAAAGGAATTAAATGAAGCGACAGTATTATATACTGTTACCTAGATCTTGACCTAGTAATTGATTTGATATCCTTCTTGTCGTCATCTAATTTCTTGTCCTCCGAAGATTTCGTGTCTTGCAGGTTCTCATCGCCCTCGTCGTCGGATTTGATCTCAGAGCTGCCAGAGGAGACACTCTGCCCCTGTAGTCCTGGTGGCATGCCTACAGAAAAAGAGGAATCAGATGATACGTACACCAACATCTCACTGCCTGCACACCAGATTGCAAGGCTGCCAGCAGACAATTCATACTGCTGAACTGTGATCCTTCTGTCACTTTTTTTTTTTCCTGCTATCTGTTGAAGTTTCAAAAAATGCACCTGCAGAAACAAGTTTTCTCTGCATTGGCTCTAAGGTTAAATTCTATTTTGCAATCTTTTGGAGTAGATGGTAATTTCACTGTCTACAAAACATCAACTTAATTGCAATGAAAATCATAATCATGAAAATCACACAGCCAATGTTCTGATTAAGAACCCAAGTAAATATCAGCTATTATATTGAGTTTCTTCTATATGCAATGATTTAATAGGAAAATGTCCTTAAAATATAATTCCCAGGGAGTATGCTAAATATGTGCAGTCAAGACTTCAATAGGTACCCTAATGATATTCTGAAATTAGGCTTCTCTTATTCTCAAGGAGTAATCAGCATTTTAAAATGGTACATATGGAAGGCAGTTTGCTACTCATTTTAGAAATTTCTAGCTTTATCATTGCTCAACTTTCCAAGTCACACTGCATTTTAAAACACGATCCTAATGTAATAAATTTTTTAAAGGTAGAACTGTATCTGTCAAGTATTCCCCCTTATTTGTAATCTGTGTATTCTAGAACCTTGCCACTCAAACTTTGGTCCATGTGGCCTCATCACCTGTGAGCCCATTAGAAATGGACAATCCCAGACCTACTGAAGCAGAATCTGCATTTTAACAAGATCCTCAGGTCGTGCTTATGTGCAGTCTGAGAAGTACAGATTTCGGACAAAGAGGACAAAACCCAAAGGCTCTTGATAAGAAAGGTCCTGGCCAGGTGCAGTGGCTCACGCCTGTAATCCCAGCACTTCGGGAGGCTGAGGCACATATTATCACTTGAGGTCAGGAGTTCAAGACCAGCCTGGCCAACATGGTGAAACACTGTCTCTACTAAAAATATGAAAAATAGCCGGGCATGGTGATGCATGTCTGTAATCCAAGCTACCTGGGAGGCTGAGGCAGAACTGCTTGAACCTGGGAGGTGGAGGTTGCAGTGAGCTGAGATCGCACCACTGCACTCCAGCCTGGGCAACAGAGTGAAGCTCTGTCTCAAAAAAGTCCATAAAATCATACTATTCATATAAAATGGGCAGACATACCCATACATAAAATTGACACTCAGATCTGTACAATGTTGAACAGTTGAAAAAATGCCCACATGTATTCCTGTGGCAATGTTATCATTTTTATATTAAACGTGAAGGGACTAGAAGATGTTATCTAAGTGACTCCTAGTCAGCTGGCCAATAGCAGCCCAACTTCCTGGGGTCATGAAAAGCTGCTCACAGTCACTGCTATGAGGCAATCATTAGAGGGCTAGATGACTCAAGAGCGAAAATCATGCAACTGCAACCAAGCTCCATTTTTAAAATGCACCTATATTTCCTTCCATCTGAAACAACAACAACAATTTCCTTCCTTCCTATTCATTTGGAAATATCATTTTCAGGCCACAACTAACCACATTAGAGGACCTGAATGAGAAAAATGTGGAAATAGCTAAAATAAAATTTCCTCTCATCAGTCTGTGGCCTCATTCCTGGCTGATATAGGACCAGGATTTCAGAGGATGTTTGAGGAAAACAGTCCCTGGAGAAACATGATTAGCGGGCGAAGTTCTAAATACTTTCCCATTTCCTTACCATTTTTGTGCCCAATTTGATTCTTGGGTTTCTGCCAGTGCTTCTTGAGGGATGAACACCAAGAGGCTGGGTATCAATACTGGGCCTATTGTGAAAGTGAGGTCAGAAGTGCCCTGGTGAGGCCAACCTACCTCTGTAAGGGTCCTGGGGTGGGTTCAGGTCAGGGGAAGTTGCAGACTGGACAGGAAGCTGTGGGACTGGAACCTGGTTTGGCAGAAGAGAATGGCTGCCTCTCAGGGCCACACCATCTTCACGATGGGTCCCCACCTGAAAGGGGCGAGAGGAACCAGAGAGGTGAGCAGGAACCAGAGGTGTGACTGCTATTTCCAGAGGCCACGAGGACCTGATGAAAGCAGGCTGGCTTTTCAAAAACCATACTCCCAAACTCATTTCACTAGAGGGCGCTGAAGGACCGCACATGCACCTATAGTTCCCGGCGAAAACACTTAACACTCAGTAAGACGCCGTGCTGTACATTCAGTGACAAATATGGCAGAGTAGCTCAGGCAGGTAAAACGTCAAATTGTCTCCCAGGGTGCTGCAGTGGAGCGCACTGATTCGTACCCATCTGTCTTCTATCATGTCCGCCAACAGATCTGACAATTATCTTAATGCCCATATGCTTAATTGTGGGCTTCTCAATTCCCCCATTGCTATCGGAAATCCTACAGGAATTTCAATTTGGCATTCGACTTTCATTTCAGGGGATAAGATTCTCAGGCCTGCCATTTTTTTTTTTCCATAATGCCAGCTAAGCCTCTGACAGCGGAAGCTACAGCAGTATGGGACACAGCCTCTGCTTGGTACAAATATAATAAAATGTCACCTGGCTTTCCAAAACTGGCAGCCCATTCCAAATTAATGTTTACTGTATTTCATCAGCTGCTGAGTTTCAAATCCAAAGGGGGATGGTTTCTGCCAATGCCACCACACCGGAAAATGTACCAATAAAGGTTTTATTAAACACACCAGTAATGCCATCATTGCCATGCAAGGATGTTTGGACATTTTTCCATTTTTTCCCTCACTATTCTGATCCTAGAAAGACACCATATTGTAAATACTCTCGATGCTTCCAAAAATGAAATTATAGAGTACAGCATGATTACTTGATTAAAAAAATACTGCTGAGCTTTTTATTAACTACTGCTATCTACTCTAGGGTCCAGAGACACTGAACTTGCGGCACTGAGACAGCAACTGCCTACTTTATAGCATATGCCTTCAAGCAAAAACATTAAGCATTTATAAACTAAGAGGACAATGAGTAGTTCACATTTTCTTTTCTATTTCCAAGTATTTTCTTAGCCTATGGTTAAGTAAGCATTTACACAGGACGGTGAGTCTAAAACACAAAAAATTAACCATACATTTATACTGCTATGAATCAGGTTTATTTTTTTCCAGTCAAAAATATGAAACCAGAAAGGAGAATCTTCACTCTTTTGTTACCAAAATATTTTAAAAGGGTATTTCCAAAGAATGCATCAATAATAAGAATCTGAACCAACAACGATCAAATTCACAGGACCTAATAAACACATGCTATTTAAAGGCAGGTATGTATTGTAAGTATCGCCTACAATATTTTGCTTTTTACTGAAAATATATTTAAGTAAGTGATCCTGAAATATGCCATTTTTATATTCATGTGTACGTGCGTGTGGTGTGTGTGTGTGTGTGTATATATGCACTCCAAAATATTTTTTTAAATTTTGGGTGGAAAGGATCACATAAATCATAAATCATATTGTTTGGATTCAAAATACAGGAAGAATAGGAAAAGACTTGAGGCTTATGAGCATCAGGAAGTATCAATAAGTGTTTCAGCAGAGAGAGGTGGGAAGTCCAGCACTGCTGCCCGGTGCCTGTGTCGCAATACAGAACTTTCTGAATGGTGGTTATGTGGCCTCTATGGGGTGCTTCAAATGTACTGAGACTGGTATCTCCCAAAGCAGCCCATTCCATTTTTACCACAAATTGGCCTCTTTGTAGATTTCACTCACTGATCCTAGAGCTCTATGGCATTAAGTACAGACCTTTTTTCAAAAAAAACATATTCAACCCTGTTGCCTGCCACACCACTCCTTTTCTCTGTGACTGAAGTCTGCTTCAGTCTACAGGCAGACCACGCCCACCTGCTCCTGCAACCATTTGTAACTGACTCTCCTATATATTTTAATTTTTATTCAGAAGAGTGATAGCTATTTTCCATTGAGGTTTTGATTTGCTGTTTTTATATTCATGCATTAGAAAATGGATTCAATCAATGATTATCCTTTCAATCTAAGATGTCAACTTGTAAGCATGAATTTTTACAGGCCTTGATAAAATGGTGGCTCTTTATGTCTGTCAATCAATATCTAAATAATTCTTTGTGCTGATTCGTATTTATTTATGTTCCCAATGGATGTAATTTCTTGAATTTCCACAAAGGATGACTCTAAGTCAAAATCACTGAAAGTAACCACAGATTTGAGCATAGAGGAGAAGTATACTCCTATTTCAGAATCATTAACACTCTCAAGACTTATTTGCAAGCATCTATGACATATCTTAAGGTTAATGTTTTGCTTTTTACTTAAAATATATTCAGTTATTGATCTTGAAATTTTTTTCCTCTAGATCACATTGAGGTAAGTTCTTAAAAGAGGAAAAGAGAACCCACGGAATCATACATGACAACTGGTATATAACAGGTACATAATAACTGCAGACAGAATCCTGTGTTTTGACCGAAAATACTTGCATGTTATATAGAAAGAATAGCCTGTGTAGTTCAAGAACCCTCAAAACTCAGGCTATCTTCACTTACGATGATCTTTGTCTCTGTTTTGTTAAAATCCATTTAATTTTGAATCTTTCTTCTATACAATGACTGTAAACTCTTAAATATTATAAATATATTTGAGGATATAGTTGTTCCAACTACATTTTTGTTTGGATTTTAGGCCCATATGTTACCTAACTCCATCTATTTTCTATAGATCATGTTAGATCATCTCAGTATCAATCATTTTCCATAAAGAATGATAGAGACAAAGTTGTTCTGATGCTTTTGTTTTTTAAAATTTAAATTTTTTTTTTTTTTTTTTGAGACAGTCCTCGCTCTGTCGTCCAGGCTGGAGCCTCTGCCTCCCAGGTTCAAGTGATTCTCCTGCCTTAGCCTCCCAAATAACTGGAATTACAGGTGCCCACCACCACACCCGGCTAATTTGTCGTGATGTTTTAAGACTTCCCTTGTAACTGTGTCTATTCCAGGTCATGTGAATGACCTCGGACAGGTCCAGAGCCATGTAATAATGAGCTTGATCTCCAGGATAGGATCAATTCCATTGCCCGTGGCTGTGGAATGGTATTCCAATTTGAAGAATTGGCTTGGCTTTGCTTGTTTCCTTGGCCACAGATGGCATGTTCTAACCCTGTTTACTTCTCTTTCAGAAACATTATTTCTGGTCACATGAGAGACAAGGGAAGAAACACGGTGGATGGTCAGCACAAATCCATCACTAGAATAACACAGAAATAGATGGAGAAACCCACACTGTTCTCTGTATATACAAGGGTCAGGGATTGTCCACTGGCATTAAGGTGGCCCATTCATAGGATGACCCATGTCTGCTTCAAATTGAGCTGGGCCATCCAATGATCTTGGCATTCTGAACTTCAATACGTCACAATGTGACTAGGAAAAAGGAGATTCCTGCAAATCAATTCTAAGAATGACATTTGGTCCCTATTTTTAGAAAATCTGTACTTGGTTAAAGCCCTATTTTGATAACCTTTTCATAGAGATAACAGTAGTCTAAAGTTAAAAGCCAACTTATGAAAAGTTAATTAATACTCATTGTAAATGTGAATCTTTTCATGGTCATGTATAATGCAGTTTTAGTGATAGCTATGCTAAAAGAAGTGAAATTTAAAAATTATTCAATGATTATTCATTGATTGATCAGAGCATGCATTCAACAAACATTTTCTAATCTAGCCCATGCCTGTCACTTTGTGAGACACTGGGGACAGAATGAGAAATAACTCAGATGTGGTCCTGGTTTTTGTGGAACTCATAATGATTCTTGGGCGGATTTTTGTACACTGATCAATTTAGTGGGGCAGTTTTAATAGTAAGGAAGAGAAACCTATTTGAGATTGTTCAAATAAAAGGAGATTTATCATAAAGAGTTTTCTGTAGCTTAGGTTTTAGACTTAGAGAGCTCTTGGGAACCGAATGACACTCCTTGCCTCTGCTGGGCTATTCAGCCTCTCTCCTCTCTCTGGGGGCACCACTGCTTCTCTTCGGCTTCTGCTCTCTCATGAGGACATATTGGACTCATTCTTCATGATACCTCGTGGTGCATTCCTTCTGGTTCTGTACCTGCTGCTGATTTCCTCTTTGTCTTCGTATTTCTAAGCTTAGAATGCCAAGATCATTGGATGGCCCAGCTCACTTTGAAGCAGACATAGGTCATCCTATGAATGGGCCACCTTAATGACAGACATTTTCCTGGTCCAGAGAGCTACAAAGGAGGAAGGGGAGACAAGATCATGTAGTCCAAACACAGCCAGCTTGGCCTGTCCCGTCCACATTTTGGCTGGTACGTGTAGGTGTAAATATCTGAGTTACACTGTATATTAGGTCAAATTATACTCAAATTCCAACACATCTATTTAAATTCTCCTGTGTGAATTTGTCATTGGATAGAATTAAATGTCATTAGATATGCAATAATTATTTTGAATCATGTAAGCACCATATAATTTTAAATAACCTTAGTTTCCAAGAAAGGGCTTGATAAACTGATAGAAGCACTTTTAAATCATAGAACTTAGACATCAAGGGCTTAGAGGACCTTCGTTATATATCAGTTAGGTCAGACTCTTCATTTTACAAAGAAAGCTAAGGTCAAGAACGGTGAAGTGACTTAAGATCTAACTTTAGATGTTTAGTTAGAGATCTAAAACAGATTTTGAACTCAGAAAACTTACAACATTGAACAATTATATAGGAGAGGGGAGCAGAGTTAGGGGGCAAGAGGGGTTTATTTCCCAGAGCTTTTGTTTTAAAACAGCGCACGTGTGTGTGTGTGTGTATGTCCATACATGCACATACACACCTAGGTACAAGCATATGACATACATATATATACATACATATACAGATATAGGAAAATCATTTCCATTTTCTTTATTGTAGGGGGGAAATCATAGTTCATTAACTCAGGCCAAGGCCAAGATGTCTAACTAAATTATAAAATTTAATATTTGCC